AATTTCCAGGATCAGTACGCTGACCCTTTTTAAATATTGGCGTTATATTAGCCAGTTTCCAACCAGACGGTACTTGTCCAGAATCAAACGATTTGATAAACAGGAGAGAGAGAGGCACACTGAGTTCTTTAGAGCACATTTTTAGCACTCTAGGATGGATTCCATCATTACCAGTGCCTTTTGAAGAGTCAAGAGCAGATAAAAGTTTTTCAATATTGCAACAATTGAACAAGGAGCTAGAAACTGGTGAGCAAACTATTTCGGTTCTTCGAGGAAAATCAGGAGCTTTGGAGTGAGTTTCAGGTAATGAAAAAGCTTTAAAAAAGTGATTATTTAAGCAATTTGCAATAGACATATTATCTACTAATTGCACTCCATCGTGGTCAAAAAGAGATCGAATTTCACTTTTACAAGTTTTTTGGCTGTTTATATAAGAATAAAACTTTTTTGGACAGGACTTACAAGCGGAAATGACTTCACTCTCATACTTTAGTACAGCATCAGCAACAAGCTTTTTCACCAGACGATTTTGTTTGTTGTACAAGACTCGAATACTATCTTTAAATTTGCTTGAAGAACAGCGTAATTTCATAAATAGTCTAAATTTTTCATTAGTTGCCGCTTTAATAGAAGAATTAAACCATTTTGGATCACGTTTTTTAAAATTAAAAGACATATTATATTTGGGAATGTGATGTTCAACCAATGAAATGTAAATGTTTTTAAATAATTCAAAGCTTTCATCTGCTGATTTATTTGTGAATAAGTTCGGCCAATTGATTGCTTTTAGGCCTTCACTTATGGCATTATAGTCACCTTTGTCATAGATATAATTAACTTTGTGATGTCTGATTGATTTGGTCGATGTTTTAAGTTTAAAATCCCATAAGAGTGAATTGTGGAAATAGTTTTTCTGAGTACAACCAAGCGGAGGACCAATTGTAATATTATGAATACGATCAGGGTCTTCAGATAGCACCAGGTCAAGTGTGTTATTGATAAATGTTGGTTTGGTGACAAACTGTGATAGGAAGCATATATATATACATATGACGTTGTATGTATATAAATATATATATATATATATATATATATATATATATATATATATATGTATGTATATATATATATATATATATATATATATATATATATATATATATATATATATATATATATATATATATATATATATATATATATATATATGTATATATATATATATATATATATATATATATATATATATATATATATATATATATATATATATATATATATAAGCTTGACTTGACGCAACAAATCCACGGAAAAGCAAAATGAGTAGCTTAAAAAAAGATATAAAAATGAACGTCACGTTTCTATATTTTACATATGCAAATTTTGGCGTTGGCTTTACTTTTTTAAAAACACGCACATTACAGTAACTTTTTTTTTCCAAATAATTATGCAATTGATTATTTTTTATTTATTATAAAAAACCCATATTTATGATAAAAAAAAACAATTATTAAAATTTCATATACATTTTGAAGACTTTAAAAGAAACCTATCAAAGCTATCAAAGAAAAAGTTATCTTTAAGCATGGCTTTTGCATGCGTTAACAAAAGCATCCTAAAATTACTAGAAATATTATGATATTATTTTTTAAAGTTTTAAAAAAGTTATGTCAAAACAACTTTTATTTTATTTTTAGCTTTTTTTATTTTAATTTCTTCAAGTTTGTACATTTTTATATTTAGCGAACTAAATGGAAAAAATTTCATTATAATATCAATGGATAAAAATTAACAATTGTTAGATCGATGCATATTAATTATCATTAATTTGCGCACACAGCTTTTCGCCACTCTCGCGCTCATTTCTTTACCAAGCCCTGTGTATATATATATATATATATATATATATATATATATATATATATATATATATATATATATATATATATATATATATATATATATATATATATATATATATACAGGGCTGTATATATATATAAATATATATATATATATATATATATATATATATATATATATATATATATATATATATATATATATATATATATATATATATATATATATATATATATATATATATATATATATATATACAGTGTATATATATATATATATATATATATATATATATATATATATATATATATATATATATCCATATATATATCCATATATATGTATATATACATATGTATTTATATATTACAGTCGGCATTCGACCATGCGGTCGAATATTACAAAATTACGGTCAACATTTGACCATGCGGACCTAAATGCTGACCTACAAGTGTTTGAGGTCAGCAAAAAATTGAGTACAAAGGTTTTACCATAAAGCATAAAAACGATGTTGGTGATTTCTTGCCAACCCAAAATACTTCTAGGTCAGCATTGCCGAATGCTGACCCAAACTCTTAGGGCTAATATATACATTTATAAATATTTTTTAAATATTATCAATATATATATTTAACAGATAATTGATGAGCATATTTACAAACTGCTTGAAGAAGATGCAAAATTAATAAAAGTTATTATACCCGTAAGTAATCATTTAATTTTTCACTAACTACAGTACATATTTTACACTACAGTTCATATTTGTAACATAAAGTTTTACATAGTTTAAAGTTTATTACTTTTTATTTGTCTTTTTTTATTCTTTTTTTTTTTTTTTTTTCTCAAAATTTTATGGTTTAGAGTTTTCTCTGCTTTCATGTTTTCTGATTTGCACAATATACTATTTATGATAAATAAAATATATTAACTTTTCCAATAAGTTACAGTTGTTAAAAAAATAATAAAATAAAGTTTAAGTAAAACAAGCACAGTTAATTTTTTTAACTGTTTTCTTTTACTTTTTTGTTTCTCTTATTTTTTATCTAGATAAAGGATTTTTTTGAATTTATGTCTGTTTTTATTTTAATATTTTTGTTAAAATTTATATATATATATATATATATATATATATATATATATATATATATATATATATATATATATATATATATATTCGATGTTTTTTTTTGTTTTTTTATTTATTTGTACATTTGCACATAGCCACTATTAAGTTGGGATTCATTAAAAAACAAAGAATATTGTTAAAGCAAGGAACCAGCCCAAATATGAAAAAAGTATTCCATAAAAGGGCAAATAAGAGATTTGTAGAGGTAGAGAATGAAATCAGTAGTAAGAATCAGTAGTAATGGCAAGCATGATAAAAAAAAGCAACCTTAGCAGATTTCATTGTTGCTGTTGTTACTCCTAGATTATTCTCTAACATTTTGATAGTTCTGTTATGTGGAATTTATGACTGGCCAGACTTGTTTTAATTTAGATTTTATACTAGAATTTTATAAGGTAATATATAGCCACAAACATCCCTTAATGCTACTTTGTAGATTTAGAACATATACAAAAGTGGTTAGCAGCAAGTTTTTAAATAATTATATTATATATTAATTAATTATTTAATTTATTTAACTATTTATCAAAGTAATTTATTATTATTTTTGTTCTTGTTGTTGTTGCTGCAGATTACATATAGTTAAAGAACCTTAATTTTTTAATTAGAATATTTCTTGTTTCATTATATTTAAAGTTGGATTGTTCAAATAATGAAGGTTGCTCATTTATTTTTCAAAGCGAAGATGCAATGAGTGCTGAAAAAGTTTTACTCCTTATTCATGGAAGTGGTGTTGTAAGAGCAGGTCAATGGTCACGAAGGTTAGAATGATTAACATTTTCTGTCATTTAATAGTATCTTATAGTTCAGAGGGAAGTTGTCTTTCCGACAGTTGTATAGAGACAGTCACAGTTACTTAGAATTACTTAGTTTCAGATTTTATTGCTGCTATTAAAAATTTTATTATAAATTAACATTTGCAAAAAAATAATTTCAAAATTGCAATTATAATTATTATTATTATGTATTTATAACATACTAATGTTATAATTACATTGAATAATATTCTTTTAACATTAAAATATTATTTCTGACCAATATAAAACCTTATTTTGTTATTTCTGAATTATATAACCTCACGAACTATACAACTATGTGAACTATATAACCTCATGAACCATGTAACCTCATACAATATATCATTTTGCGTTATATTGCTGTTACATCAGGGCGCTATGATAAACATTGTTTTTAATGTTACAATAGTTATTTTGAAATTAGAATGTTATTAGCTTGCACAAATTTGTCACTATATTTATGCTATAATGATGTTATATTTGTGTTCATTAATATTCTTTTAATTTATTTAACAGCACTTATTATTTCTTCAAAAATAAGGTTAGCAGGTATTATATAATATTTGAGAATAGCTAATATATACGCAATAAATTGATTTATAATATGCGCTAGGTATTATATAAGTATAATGTTTAAATGTACTTGTATAAACTAATTCTATAAATAAGACTTTAATAAACCATGTTTTTTTATGTAGCTAGTTGCTTTGACTGACTTATAAAGAAAAAGTGTCTTTTTAAAGTATTTTTTGTAAAACACCAAGTGTTTGCGCATAACTTCATTTGTTGTAAAGTATTTTAAATACTTTAAAAGTATTTGTATTTTGAATGCTTTTTTAGTTAAGTACTTTTTACTTGTATTCTAAATATAATTTTGAATTTGTTTTGTATTTTCATCGCCTCAAAATGCAAAACACTTTTTAATTTTTTTATTGAAAAAAAAAGATATTATTTATGGTTTATTTTTATTAACTTCAAAGATATTATAATGATCAAAGCACAATAATTATCATTCTATATGAAACCATGTCACTTCTCAGAAATCATTCATACCATGTCACCTCTCAGAAATCATCCATAACATGTCACCTCTTAAAATTTTTTTATTTTTACATTATTTAAGTCTGTACTATATTAATGATAACTGCAAAAAAATCTCACTAAAAATATGCATTAGTTGTTGAAACACCATCAGCTGAAATAAATTCAACTTTCCAACACACAGCAAAAATGCTTGTAGCAAAACAAAAGTTTTATTATTGACTGAATTACATCAATGATTTTGTTACCATATAATATTAAAAAAAAAAATTTTAACAACAGAAATAAGCAATCATTTCAAGCAAATAAAAGCAGATTTCAACCGAAAACATAAAGAAAGTGTGTAAAATCAAAAAAAAACTTTGACCATTACACCATAAGGTGCTAATGTTAACTTTTACACTAGAGTCATAGACATGTATAATGATATCAATTTAAAAATGAGCAGGGGATTTTCTCATTGCTAGGAAAAAAATTTGAAACCCTATTTTACCATAAAACAATCAAATTAATGACTAACTTCTATCAAAGTGATGAGTTGTGAAGAATGCCAGAAAAAAAGATTTTTGTTAGCAACTTATTTCAAAAAAGACTATCACAATCTCAATGAATTACATGTTGCATTTAAAAAATACTATCATAATGTCAAGGTTAGTTTAATCACAGTAAAAACTTTAATTTAAATGATGAGTATTTCACCACCCGTGGTAAATGATAAGTATTTCTTGCCACCACCCATGGTAAATAATGATTATTTCTTGCTACCACCCTAAATTTGACAGATTTTGGATTTAATGCTAAGTGGAAATTAATTTAATGCCTTCTGCATTGTAAAAGTTAATAGAATTTTTTTGAAGTTATTTACAAAAAGACAATTGAACTCCCGCACAATAACAAAATAAATACATCCTTGGTAGATCCTGATAGATCATATAGTAGTTCCTGGCACAAGGATGTATCAACATTTTGTTACTATTAGTTCAAATAAATAGTTAGAATTTGTTATTCATGTGATAATATGTTTTGATACTTGAAATAAACTATGTTTTAAGCATGATTTGGAGCAAAAATTAATTATTTAAAAAATCTTAAAAGAATTTAAAAGAAATGTTGCTAATGTAAACCACTTTAGTTTTGTATGTATTTAAGAGAAATGTCACTAATGTAAACCACTTGTAGGTTTTGATTATTAGATTGTAACTAAATAAGTTTGTAGATCAAAATTGCTGAGCAATCTATAAAAAAAAATAATTTAAATTACCTGAGTTACATGGAAAGCATGCATCAAATACTTTTTAGTGGAGACATTTCCTTAAACATGTATTAGTTTAAATAATGCATCTCGTTAGAAAAAAGACGCTACATTTCTTTCAAATTATGTTGTAAGTCTGCAAATAAGAGATAAAGTCTCTGAAAAAAGAGTGCAGAATATGCTGATAAAAAGAACTAGTAATAATTGTAGTCTTAGACTTAAAAGTAGAATTGAATTAAATATTTAGGAAATCAATTAAAATTATTTAAAAATTAAGTTATTAGATGGCTTTTTCTTTTGCTACAAAGCATTTCACTTAATTCATGGCACAGAAATACAGTTAAATTCCCTTCATCAACAGTAGAAACTTGTTTCTAGAGTTATTATTTGTCAAGGCAATCTTTCAAAAAATTTATAATACTCTATACAAATTGCAAATATTTAAATAGTAAAAAATTATAAAAGATAATCATTAAATTTTTTACTATCCTCAAATTAAAGGACATATTTCTTGCTTTTATTGAATGCCTTTATTCTATGATTATATTTAAAAAATTGTTTTGAACTAAGCTTACTGTATAAATGTGAATGTATCAATATGATTGTTCTATTATTACTATGCTCTATTTTCAAAATAAAAAAAATAAGGTTTGAAAGCAGATAGATTAAGCACTATATTATATTAAAAAATATATATATTAAATATTATATTAAATAAAAAAAAAAAAAAAAAAAAGAACTTAATCATGTTGAAAGTATTGAAATAATATAATAAAAATACAATAATAAAAATATGAATATAGTAAAATAGTAATAATATAATTATAAAAATTATATTAATTATAAAAATATTGAAATATTGCATTATAAAAGTTGTGAAAGGAATGAATAAAAAAAATACTTAAAATAAGGCTGTTTAATAACAACAGTTAATTCTTACCCTAAAAGTTAACCAATAATTAATCACACTTAAAAAATTAAGAGAAAAAATTAAACTGTAAGAATATAAACAGTAAATGTTTTTTTCAAAAAAGAAACTATTTTTTAAAAATTAGCAGTTTTTGGTTTAACTTCTTCATATATATATATATATATATATATATATATATATATATATATATATATATATATATATATATATATATATATATATATATATATATATATATATATATATATATATATATATATATATATATATATATATATATATATATATATATATATATATATATATATATATATATATTATATATATATACATATATAATATATATATATATATAAATATATATATATATATATATATATATATATATATATATATATATATATATATATATATATATATATATATATATATAGTTAGTTAGTTAGTTAGTTAGTGGTAAACTGTGTGGATCTTATTCACAAGCTGAGACGCTGTAACGTTCAGCTATAGCAGCCCAATACTTTTTTTTTTTCTTTTCTTTTTCTTTTAAGTTAATATTTTCTTATTTTTCTTAAGCCATTTGTCTAAACTTGCTTTAAAACTATTCAAATTCTCGGAATCTACAACTTTTTCCAGAAGTTTGTTCTAAATTTGGCAAACTCTGTTTGTGAAGAAATGGATTCTGGAGCTAACCGATGCATGAAAGTCATTTATTTCGCGAGGAGTAAAACACTGCATTCTAATTTTATGTTTGGGACCTCTAATGGAAGAACATGGGCCATTTAATTTAATGCTTGACTTATAGACTGGTTTGACATTAAGATTGACAAATTCTAGATTGTTTAATATCTTATATAAATGAATAAGGTCTCCTCGTTTTCTTCTGAGATTTAAATTAATTAAATCCATTTTAACTAGCCGTTTCTCATAACTTAGCATTCGGTTTGAGTATGGTATTTTTGTGGCCCTACGTTGAACTCTTTCAAGCATTGAAATTTCAGCCACATTCGGAGGACTCCACGCTGGAGCCGCAAATTCAAGATGAAGTTGCACATAAGTAGTATACAAAATTTTCCACATATAACAATCTCTACTTTCAAAGGCATTTTTCAATAACCCCGGTATTTTTTAAGCTTTGTTAACACATACTTTGTTAACACATGCTTCCACCTCATATCCGGTTGTACAAAGACACCTAGATCTCTTTCTAATACACTGTTTGAGAGGTCATAAATCATTCCATTTATATTCATTGTGTATGTTTTATCAATACCTTGAAAAACTTTCTGATTGCCGAATCTCATCACCTTTTTTTGCAGTTTAGTTCCATACCCCAATTGTTGCACCATTTCACAATGTTGTCAAGGTCAGTTTGTATTTCCGCTTGTTTATCAATGGAATCTTCTATGGCTATTGTTTTGCTATCATCAGCATACATTTTAAATGTGTTTAGCACAACTTCAGGGAGGTCATTTATGAATAGTAAAAACAACATTGGACCCAAAACAAAACCCTGAGACACGCCACTGGTAACTGATACCCATTCTGAAACTGTATTACTAAGAGCAACTCTTTGTTTCCTATTTGCAAGAAAACTTTCAATCCAGTTACATATTTTACCAGTTATACCATACGCTTTAATCTTTGTCAATAATCTTTTGTGTTCTACTTTATCAAAAGCCTTTGCGAAGTCAAGATAAATGACGCATAACGGTTTACATTTTGCAGTTTCAAATGTAA